CCGGGACACGAACCGCGGTTGACTACGTGGGAGTCCAGCGACATAGCCATTACGCTAACTGCTGGTTCCCAGACAGTTCTCAAGTTTTGTTAGTGGTTATCAGTCGTGGAGATTGAGATTAGAAAAAGAGAAAAGGTCTCAGCTGAGCTATGGACACGCTAGTCCCTGGCTGAAATAAGGAAAGTGGGGAGGGAGGATACTGAGGTCACAGATACACAGGCTGAGAGAGCACGTTTAGTTTCCTAGTGCGTCTTGAATGAAGACACAACTTTGACCTCATCAGCAGGACTTGGGGCGAGATGGTTCTAACCGTTAAAGTCATCTCCTTTACATAAGACACATCTGAGAAGCCTGGTAGCAGGCTCTAACTCCTCCTCCATGTGAGTCTGGGAGGAACTAAGCCAATAAGGACAAAGTCCCCACTTTCAACCCAGAGCCTTGAAGGGGAAGAGTAGACTGTGCCATGGCAGACAGCTGTCACAGAGATGCTCTATAAATTCTGAGTGCCGGATAGGCTGGGGTGCTACTGATGGTGTTAGAGTAAGCCAGTCTGGGAGCCTACAGGTGGTGTGGTGGTTAAGGCACTGGGCTCCCATGTGGTTGCCCACGGTTCAAGTCCTGGACCTGGGAGCTTCTTTTCTCACTTTTCGTCTCTTTCTGTCTCTCTCTGGTGAGTGCCCTGTAGCAAATTAAAAAATAATAATAATGATAAGTAAAATTAAATAAATCTTTAAAAAAAAAAAAAAGAACCAGCAGATCTGAATGACATCCTGATCCTCATCTTGAATCCTCTGGTTTTCTCTGATATGGTCCATAATCAAAAGAAGCCACCCACTGGAGGCCATGTCCATCCCAAGGCAAGTACGTCTGACCCTATGGGAGCTCCCAGCTGGGGTTGGGAGTAGGAGGACCAGGGAAGGAACAAGGAGATGAGTGGCACTTACATTTCCTTCTACCCAACCACACAACAAATGGGCGTCTTTCCTAATAAGCTCAAAGTGTTACAGTTTGCTCAACTTAGATACGTCATATAGGTCAACTTGGGCAAGAGAAAAGAGGCTCCAAATTTGCACTGTCTAACATGGTATCCACATGTGAATGTGGCTGCTGAAATCAAAACTAATTCTGGGGCCAGCAGGTGGCGTAGTGGTTGAAGCTGCTGGACTCCCAACTACAGTTCGAGTCCTGGACCTGGCAGCTCGCTTTCTCACTTTCTCTCTCTGGTCAATTAAAAAAAAAAAAGTAAATAAAGTTAAATAAAATAATTCTTTTTAAAAAACTAATTCAATTAAAATGAATTCACTTAAAATTAAAAATCTGTTTCCTCAACTGTGCCTCAATAGTCACACTCTACATGATCAACAGCCACAGATACACAACACGGCCATCGTCACAGGGAGTCCAGGTGGATGGTACTATTCTGCATTGTGAGGTGAAGCTTCCCCACTTTAGCAATCACTCTGCCATACTGCCCTGGGTTACTCACCTTATAAAGTTCTTCATCAAACTGGCTGAGCTGTGCCACCTCCTGCATGACTTCCTTCCTCATGAAAAAGGGGGTATAGATGGGAGTGTAGCCCCGACTTCCCAGGGTGCGAAGGGCATACTGGATGAGAGCCTGTTCCAGGAACACCAGGACCCCCTATAGGAGCAGACACGGTACTGTGATCAGGTCCTACCGCCATCATGTCCCTCTGCTAGAAATGACACTCGGGGCAGCTAGGGCAATGGCATGGGCCTACACAGGGGCACCTGGGAGGCCAACAAAGACCACGGACCTCCGCAACGGATCCAAGAGGTTCTATCTTAACACAAACCCCAGCATGTCATCCAGCACATTGTGAAGGTAATTTTAAGATACCAAAGTAAGGGGAGAGCATTACTCCCCTTAAGGGGGATGCATGGGAGAGTTTTCTTGAAGTTCTTGAAACACTGAGTCATGAGTCTCTGCAGAGCATGCTTATATACATGTATACAGGTACAGTACTTCCATACTTGTTTGACCACATCCTTCTGGAAGCCTTGCCTGAATTCATTTGCCCTGCCTGGGTTTGCCGCCACCCTACTGATTCTCAAAGCACTCTGGGCCTACTGAGACCATAGTGCTTATCACAGTGGGCTTTGATTCTTTGTTACTTTGTCTGACTGTCCAATTACACAAGCTCCTTAAAGGCAGACTGTTCTGATTCAGTCAGCAAAACACACATTCATTACGGAAGACCACTCGGTGGTGTGTGTTCTATGGAGTCCTGATAAGTACCCTCTTGCCTTAGAAAGAGAATTGCATCTAATTGCCAATATGTTTACAGAAAGACAGTTAAAACTGGTGGATTTGCAGACCTCTTTAAATAGGTTATGCTTTTCTGTAAAGTGTTTAGTTTTTCCTTTATAGTCCTCTCCCCACTGGTTCCCAACTCTTACCTTCAGGAAATACCCTCGACTCCCAGCCACCACGGCCCCCTTCTCGCCTTCAAAGCCATCTACCATCACCACCAGGTCCACGTGAGAGTACTTCTTCCTGACTGTACAATCCCCCCAAATCCTCTCTACTTTGTTGTCTGCATCCTAAGGAAACAAGAGCAGGAGAGAAAGGCACAAATTTCTTAATTCTGCAACCTGCAGCTTTCCAAACCCTATTCCAAGGACAACTTAGCATTGTGAGGTCATCCCATAACTCAAACACTAGGTTTAGGTCATTGAGTATGGTGACTAACAAAGGGAATTTACTACTCAATAGAAAAATAATCATTTATCAGGTCCTAAAAGTGATTCTAGACATGAAACTGGGAATCATAGTAGTCTTTCTTTCCTTTTTCTTTTATCCCTTTTAGTAACTCCTTGAAAATCCTACCCAAGAACAGCCCGCCCAGAAGATCACATTGCGTGAGGTGCAGAGGAGAATGTAGATTTTGTTTTTTTCCAGCCTTTCATTGGTCCCGGGATACCCGAGGGTGGGTTCAGGGCCCTGACCTCCAGAGTCAGCTCAGGCTCCGGGCCTCCTGCACACCCCAGTCTGCAGTGAGTTTAACGTTCACCAGGGAATGAATGAAAGAGGCACAGATGGGCCCTGCCACGGCTGGGGTGTCAGGGAACAAAAGCCGGGCTCAGAGCAGCTTTGTGCTGGGGAAGCTCCCGCACAGCAGGAAACTTTTATTATGCAGATTTCCCTTCAACCTGCAGCTTCTCAGCAGGGAGTGGGTGAGGGGGGTTAGGTTGATTTAGCAGATCCCTCCCACAAAACTCGGCTGCTACCACGGGCAACACACAGCAGAGGACAGCAGGCCTATTTAGAAGGGATTTCAGTGCCAGGGGTCTCCTCCTACCTGCTGTCTCAGCTACTTCCCAATCAGGCAAGGATCTGACTCCTGCAATTCTCAATTGGTGGGCAGGGGGGATACACAAAGAGCCTGCTTCTGACTGAGAGCGCCAGTGTTTCACAGCGCTCCTCCCACCCCTGTCCCGCCTGCAGGAACAATGACAGTGATGTGGGCAGCCTACCTCGTCGTTACTGATGGGCACTGAGGGGTGCAGGAGGTTCCCGATCTCTCGGAGGTTCTCAAACCGCTCTGCTTCCAGCTTGATTCTCTCGGCATCGCACTTCAGGATGGCTTCATCGATGAGGAGTCGGACTTTTTTGATCTGTGAGACTTTTAGGTTCTGTAGATGAACAGGCCGTGCCCACACCCAGGACACAGTGAATCAGGGACAGCACAGGATTAAGATTCTAGTGCCCTAACCCTGACGACCCTTGTGGTTTGATCTCTCACTTCTCTCTCTTTGGTGAGCTCAGGTGCCCTACAGCAAAACTAGAAAAAATAAAGTTTATAAAAATGCATTGTAAAAAACAAATAGCCAATAGCCAGCTCTGCGATGCAACAGTAATATGCTACTCAAGAAAAGCCAGATCTCACATGGTGACAGTAGTTCGAATCCCCAGCCCAGTCAGCCTGAAACATTTAGCATGAGCAGAAGTGCCCAGGATCACTAGGGCTGGGGGCCTGGAGGAAGGGAATCTTGGCCACACTCTGTGGAGGGTGTTACCCGCTCTCTCTCTCTCTCCCCCATGTGTGTGCACACACTCGCTTATCATGAATACAAGGAACAACAAAAAAGACTTTGAATTAAAAAAAACTGAAAATGAAGTTTTTGAAGATCTACAATTTACTTCACACAGGGATATACAGTCTATTCCTACAAAGCCACTGGTATATTCCTTTGGGGGTGCCTAAGACAGAGATGGATAAATTCTGGCCACTCTTACAGTTCTGACTCATCTCAGGAGGTTTAATACTACAACTCTCTCCAGAGAACCTTCTCTTTATTTGCACATTCTGGCTTTCCTGACGGAAGCAGTTTAGCATTCTACAATATGCTACACTTAACTGTTCTCTAGGAAAATTACCAATTTATTAAAAGCAAGAGACCTTCTCTCAAGCTTATTTTGTGTTCCTTATTGCAGCTGATTCAAACTGTGCTCTCATTTCCTTGGGAAGAGCCTGTAACAGGTAGAGTGAAACAGATCCCGATCGAGTCCTTCAAACACAGCAGTTTTGCTTTTTTGTCTTCATGCTCTTGCTGTGTGTTAAGATTTCAATAAACATTTCAGTGACTTGGGGACCAGCAGTTGGTGTAATGGCTATGTCGCTGGACTCCCATGTCATCGACTGCGGTTCGAGTCCCGGACCCGGTGGCTTAAACTTACGCTGGGCACGTGTGTGTGTCCATGATCCCGAGAGGAGAAGGGATTGCGGCATGGCCATGCCCCCTAGGGGGTGATTTCTCGAGTCCTGTCTCTCTGTCTTTCTGGAGAGTGCATGCGCCCTATAGCAAAAACCTCTCAAAAAAAAAAAAAGATTTCAGTGACTACAAACTTGAAAATCACTGCTCTATCCCTATTGTAGTGAACATTATTGAATTATAGTAAAAGAAAAAAAATTATTTTACTTTGTAAAAGGGAGAGCAGAATAAAATAGAGTGCATAAACCGAACAGTTCAGTTCCTTTTTTTTTCTTTTTTTTTTTAGTATTCACTATAAAAAGTGTGCTCTCTACAAAGGGACAGAGTGAGAGAGAGGGAAAGCGAGAACTCTCTCCCTCCCTGGGGTTGAGGGGGGATAGCCATGCTGCAATCCCTTCTCCTCCATCCCCCTCTTGGGATTTTGGGCATGTACCCACATGCACCTAGCCTGATTTTTAAGGTGCTGGGTCCAGGACTCAAACCATGGAGTGGGTCACGTGGGATCCAGCACCTTAACCTCCACACCACCTGCTGGCCCTCCAATTCCTTTTTCCTATTTCTCCTACTTTGACTTTCCCATTCTATTTGGCTCCACCTCTGCTGCCTAATAAATACTCAAGTACAAAGTATAACAAGCAGGCGGGAACATTTCCGAGTGGCAGAAAGTCAAGGTTGCCACAGTGCCACAGTGCCACGGGTGGAGCAGAGGCAACACGTGCTGTCTAGGGACAAAGTTAACACAAAAGAACAGATCTCAGTTGAGAAAAGGGTGAGAACTCACAGCTAAGGTGTCTGCAGTGAGGTCGTCAAAATGTAGTGCATCCTCTGGAACAGACTCGTCTTCTCCCACGGGCTCTTTTTTCTGCAGGAAGAAAAAACCCCAGCACAATTAAACAAAAGAAAATCCCTGGCATTGTTTCATGAGGTGCACACCAAATTAACATATGCTACCAACTAGTCACAGAACCTTCTATGTAACTTTTCTTTAAAAGATGCAACAAAGAGGAAGAAAATTAGTGAACTGGAAGCCAGAAGTCAAAGTTTCAAGATCCTATTCTGCGGGACCAGCAGGTGGCATGGTGGTTAAGGCGCTGGACACTCCCACATGGCCAACTACGGTTCGAGTCCTGGACTTGATGGCTTGCTTTCTCACTTTCCTCTCTGGTGTCTCTATCTGGTCAAATTAAAATAAATGAAATGGAATAAAATAATTTTAAAAAGTCCATTTCTGCTACCTCCAGCTTTTTGACCCTGGATGAATCAATTAACCTGTTGGGGCCCGGCATGAGTTGAAGCCGCCGGGTCCAGGACGCAAACTGTGGTCAACTACGTGGGAGTCCAGTGACATAGCTATTATGCCAACTGCTGGTCTTGACTAATTTTTTTAAATTTAAGACTAATTTGAGCTTGAAATTGCCTGGCTCTGAGCAAGGATTAAAATTGATAACTTAGGGAACCAGCAGATGGCATCGTGGTTATGTTGCTGGACTCCCACATAGTTGACAGTGGTTCCAGTTTCAGACCTGGTGACTTGAGACTCACACCAGGCGCATATGTGTTTGTATCCAAGACCCCAAGAGGAAAGTGGAGGAGAAGGGATTGTGACGTGGCCATCCCCTCTAGGGGGTGATTTCTTGCTTTGTGTTTCTCTGTCTGTCTGGCGAGCTCACGCGCCCTATAGCAAAAACCTCTCCAAAAAAACCCACATTAATCACAGGCCATTATAATAGGATACATAAGGCCTCAGTAAAACTCTAAAAAGAATTCATGGGTTGGTCTTACAGAGCAGGTCTTACACCCTTAACCACCCTTAAGCACCATGTACATAAGGCCTCAGTAAAACTCTAAAAAGAATTCGTGGGTTGGTCTTACAGAGCAGGGTTAAGCACCATGTATAGGGAGCCAGATCCTACCTAGCCAACCACACTTTGAATCTGGACCCTGATAGCGTGAAAAACACACTGGGCACGTGGGCATAGTGCCTAAAATCCTGAGAGGATGAAGAAATGGAGGAAAAAGGATTGCAGCCTGACCATGTTCCATTAGGAGGACTCTCTTTCACGGGCGCACACATAAATAAGCATGCATGCCCTCTAACAACAAAAAATTTAAAAGAATAATCTCTTGGGCCAGCAGATGGCATGGTGGTGGTTAAGGTGCTGGACTCCCACATGGCTGACTGCAGCTCAAGTCCCAGACCCAGGGGCTTGAAACTCACACCACGTGCATGTGCATGTGTGCCCCGAATCCCAGAGAACAGAAAAGAGATTGCGGCATGGCCATCCTGCTGGGGGGTTAATGGGGTGATTTCTTACCTTCCCTCTCTCTGTTCTTCTCCAAGGAGTGCGTGGACCCCATGACAAAAACAAAAACAAACACAAACAAAAAAGTCCTCAAAAATATCAAAAACTATCTGGGCCAGTCTCATAGAGCGGCAGTTAAGGGAGCTGGATCCCAGATGGCTGACGACACAAAACTAAGTAGTGAGAGAGAACTGAATCTTCTAGAGGTTGAAGATGGGACTGTGGTATTACCATGCCCGATGGGAGGAGGCTGCCTTCTCCCGCTCCTTTCTGTCTCTCCATCTCTCTCTGGTGACTGCATGGGCCCTGTGGCAATTTTTTAAAAGTCTGAAAATATCAGAGTTAGTCTTTTTTTTCAGTCCATGCCCAAAAGAGTTAGTCTTCATAAGAACAGGCATAGACAACAAAGGTAGAAAAAAATGACTTAAATATCGAGATATCTGTAATAGTATTATAGGCAGAGTAAGCATATGGTAAAAGATAGCTAAGAGGCTCCTTTGCTATTTGATAGTCCCTCTGGTCAGCAAATTTAAGTTTTCTTTTTTAAAGAAATATTTTATTTAACCTTATATATTTACCCATCCATCTATTTATTTTAATTTAACCAGAGGAAGAGAGAATGAGAGAGAAAGAAAGAGAGAAAGTGAGAAAGCAAGCCACCAGGTCTGGGACTTGAATTGTGGTCAGCCATGTGGGAGTCCAGCACCCTTAACCACCATGCCACCTGCCGGCCTCAACAAATTTAAATTCTGAGTTCAAAGTTTGGCTCTGCAACAAAGGGTGTAGTACTGAGCAAGATCCTTGATTGATTTCCTAAGCCCATTCCAAGTCCCAGACCAGGCGGCTTGAAAACATAGCAAGTGAGTGTACAATGTGTGCTCAAAATCCAGAGATATGAGTGGAGGAGAAGGGATTGCAGCGTGGCCATCCCCCCTGCCAACCCTGAGGGGTACTTTCCACTTTCCTCTCTCTTTCTATCTCTCTCTAGAGAGTACATGCACCCTATATAGCAAGTTAAAAGAAAACATATAATAATATCTTCTTTTTAAAAACAATGTATTTGTTTACTTATTTATCTTTAATTTATTTTATTTTGCTATGGGGTGCCTGTGCCTGCCAGAGAGAGGATGGGGGAAGTGAGAAAGCACCTGGCGGGGAATGGCCATGTTGCAATCCCTTCTTCTCCATTTTCTTCTCTGGATTTCGGGAATGCATACACACATACCTGGCATGTTTTTCAAGCCACCAGGCCCAGGGCTCTAACTGTACAGCCGGCCATGTGGGATCCAGCTGCATTACCATGCAACTGGCTGGCCCCACTTGTATCTTGATATAAAACATACCCAGCTCTTCTGGATGTGGTGGCACACTGGTTGACACTACTACCCAGGTTTGATGCCCAGTCCACCCTGAAAAATGGGCACCGTGGCCCCTGCTTATAGACCCAGCTACTCAAGAGGCTGGACAGAGGACTGCAATGTAGTAAGACTCTTGCTAAATACAAACACAAGGGCCAGCTCTAGGGCACAGTAGTAATACACTGCTTAAGAGAAGCCAGATCCTATGTAACAGCTGCAAGTCAAATCCCCCGAAACACACGAGGCCTATGCATGAGTACCCAAGATCTAAAAGGCTGGAGGAAGAGGATCAAGTATGATCAGACCCTGTGAAGGGTGCTCCTCTCTCAATCACATGTGCTCTACTAAAAAAAAAAAAGTACAAAAAAACAATCAGCCCTGTCTATATATATAACATATGCCCAAAGAACACTCAGGACAAAGGTACACATAGGAATTAACATAATCATGAAGTGCAAATGATTAAGCATCACAGGTCCCATAGGAAGAAAAGCGGTTATCAGTATCAGTTTCCACAGCTAAAAGTGTAACAAAATACTGTCATCAAGGAAAAGGAGGCAGACTATTATTATTATTATTTTTTGGAGAGGTTTTTGCTACAGGACATATGCGTTTGCCAGAGAGACAGAGAGAGACAGAAAGCGGGAAATCCCCCAGGGGGGATGGCCACGCCGCAATCCCTTCTCCTCCATTTTCCTCTTGGGATCTTGGGCACGCACACACACACGCCCAGCATGAGTTTAAGCCACCGGGTCCGAGACTCAAACTGCGGTCCACTACATGGGAGTCCAGTGACATAGCCATTACACTAACTGCTGGTCCCAGGAGGCAGACTATTTTGAAGTCAAGTGAAAGATGCTAAAATCCCTAGGTAATCTTTTTTGTTATATTCTTTACTGGTTCAGTTTCCAAAATTTCATAGTTTTTTTTGGATTTAGTTTCAAGGTTTACAACTTTAAAAGTTACCTAGATTGTAGAAGGTATTTAATGTGTTTTGAAAAGTGATTAAGTGGGGAGCAGTAAGGTGGCATAATGGTTAAGGTGCTGGACTCCTGAGTGGCTGACTGTGGTTCAAATTCTGGGTCGAGCAGCTTGAAACTCATGTTGGGCATGTATGCATTCATGTCCAAAATCCTGAGAGGAGAATAGAGGAGAAGGGATTATGGCATGGCCATTCCCCCAGGAGATAATTTCTTCACTTTCTGTCTGTCTCTCCAGCAAGTGCAAATGCACACCCTATGGCAAAAAAAAAAAAAAAAAAATCTCTCTCTCCCTCTCTCAAAAAACCCCCCCCCCCTCTCTCAAAAAAAAAAAAAAAAAAGCGATTAAGGTGCTAACAAGCCATTCTTTAAAAAGTGTACTCATTTATTTCTTCCAAAAGTGAGTGAGAGGGAGTGTGTAAGATAGCACTCCCAACAGGGTCCTGAGGCCCCACCCTTCAGCTGGCTCTGGATCGTGGGTAAGTACGTGACCCGCATCCTCAGGAAGACCTCCATACGTGAACCAGGAACCTTCCTACATGAACCCAAGACTGCACAGAGCACTGTGTTTTACTGCTGCACCACTGTCGGGCTCTCTAAAAGGGTATTTTGAAGAAAGGCTAAAAACAAACTATTCTCAGGCAGGCCTGGTAGCCTAGTGGTTAAGAGAGGTGAATTCTACATGGTTAGGTTCAAATCCTAGCCTCAGTGGCTTGGAATACGCCAGCTGTGTGTACGTGCATGCCCAAAATCCTGAAAGGAGGGAGAAATGCGGGATAAGGGATTATAGCATGACCACACCCCACTGAGGGGTGCATTTTCCTTCCGTCCCTCTCTCTGGTGAATGCAGGCACGCTCTGGTAATTAAAAAAAAAAAAAAAGTAGAGCAAAAAAATCTCCATACACTATTCTGCATACCAAAAGAAAAGCTGAGCTGAAATGTAATATTCTTCAAGCACAGAAAGGGTTTTTTGGATGAAGGCCAGTAACTACTTGCCACTCATTGTAATTCTCAATTGTTCTACAACTACAATGTTGTCGGCATTATGCCAAGTTCTCTTTGTTTAGAAAGAGATTTCAGTTCTGGGCCAGCGGCCATGTGGTGGTTAAGGCAGCTGGATCCCACATGGTCAATTGCGCCGATAAAGTCCTAGAACAGGCAGCTTGGAAGACATGCCAGGAGCATGTGCATGCATGCCCAAAATCCTCAGGGGGAGGGAAAAGGGTCTACAGTATAACCATGTCCCATGGAGTGTTGCTTTGTCAGCCTTCCATCCTCCCATCCTCTGGCAAGTGCATATATCCTATGGCAAATTAAAAAAGAAAAAAGTTATAACAATTCTATTCTATAGATAAGTATTAGTACTATTATTTTAAAGATTAGAAAGTGAAGCTCAGGGACCAGCAGTTGGCATAATGGCTATGTCATTAGACTCTCAGATAGTTGACCATGGTTCGAGTCCTGGACCCGGTGGCTTAACTCACGCCAGGCGCGTGTGTGTACGTGCCCAAGATGTGAGAGGAGAATGGAGAAGGGATTGCAGTGTGGCCATGCCCCCTGGGGGGTGATTTCTCGCTTTCTGTCTCTCTGTCTCTCTATGTCTTTCTGGTGAGTGCACACGCCACATCGCAGAAACCTCTCCAAAAAAATAAAAGAAAAAGTAAAAAGAAAAAAAAAAAAGAAAAAAGAAAGTGAAGTTCAGAAATTAGCTTGTCATGGGGCCAGTGGGTGGTGGTTAAGGCATTGGACACTCCCACATGGCCAACCACGGTTTGAGTCCTGGATCTGGTGGCTTGCTTTCTCGCTAGCCCCGACCCCCATCTCTCTCTCCTCTGGTCAAATTAAAATGAATGAATAAAATTAAATAAATAATAATTTAAAAAAGAAATTAACTTGCCATTAAGTCACATAGCTAATCAGGGAAATAAGACAAGATATGGAATGAACATCTGAGCTCTTCTTATTAAGAAGCACCACTATAACGTGATGATAAATCTAAACTCTACTGTAAGAAAGCCTTCCTGGGATTACAGGTTGAGCCCAAGAAATTAACTGGAGAGAACAACTGGTGGAATTTATATTCCTATTTTATAAACAGAATAGATAACGAATGACAAGTGTGGCAAGAATCTGTTTTTTTTTTTTTTTTGAGAGTTTTTTGATATAGGTACGTGAGCTTGCCAGAAAGACAGAGAGAGACAGAGAGATAGAAAGTGAGAAATCACCCCCCAGAGGGGATGTTCACGCCGCAATCCCTTCTCCATTCTCCTCTTGGGATCTTGGGCAGGCACCCACATGCGCCCAGCGTGAGTTTAAGCCACCTGGTCTGGGACTCGACCGTAGTCAGCTACAAGGGAGTCCAGTGACACAGCCGTTACGCTAACTGCTGGTCCCGGCAAGAGTCTTATCTGCACACAGAGGACAGGGCTGGCCCTGCAGCCTAGAGGTTAAGAGAGTGAGATCCCACATGACTGACTGTAGTTCAAATCCCAGCTCTAACAGCTTCAGAAAAATACCAGGCATGTATGTGTACCCTAAATCCCAACAGGATGGAGTAACGGGGGAGAAGGAATTGTGGTGTGAACAAGCTCCATTGCAGGGTGCTTTCTTCCTCTCTGGCTCTCTGGTAGGAACACACATACTCCCACAATTGAAAAAAAAAAAAAAGGAACAAAGAGGATGGACATACCTTGAAGTCACTGAATATGCCTCCTATTTCCCTCCCTCCCTTTCTTTTTAAAATTAGAATTTCTGTGAATGTTAGCAAGAAACAAGATCAGTATCTCTGCTTAAGCTGTTTAATTTGAACTGCCTATTATAATCACCCGTTACTCAGTTCTCTTACCTTCATCTTCTCTCCAATCGTCTTGCTGCATAGATTCTTCAGCTTGTTCAAGTTATCTGCCCGAAATCTGCCTAAGAATAAAGAATCCGAGAATACATCAAATAAATGCACATAACTAAAACACTTTCTCCTGATCCTGACTCCTCAGCACTGATCTCAGCTTATGGCTAAGAGGCAGGTAGAACAAATTTTGAAATCTTAGCGGTTTAGAGTCCCAAATTTAGTTGGTATTCAGTGATGATATAATAAGGCATTCCTAGCATTTGGTGACAAAAGGCCATTCTGAGATTGAATTTGAAAGTATAATCTCTATGATACCATTGTAGAGCAACACATCTGAGAAACCTGGAAGATACTCAAGTAACTAACTCGCCCAATTACCTGAACATTTGTTTGAGATGTGTTGTGCACTGGAATCTAGGAAGCAGGCACGACACTGGAACTGGTTGCTACCTTGGGATGCTAGAAATGGTGAATGTCATTCCCTTTGCTCTGACATACTGTTCATCTGGCAGCCTTCAGAATAATTCACTTTCTTAAAATTTAGTTCCTTAGGGGGAAGACAGTGCATTAATCAACCAATACACTGGCCCAAATGAATATACTGGCATCGTGGTTCATCAGTCTAACACTGATTAGCAAAAATGGGACCTATAGACTCTCTACACTCTGAGAGGTAAAATTGGTGACTGGAAATGAGACATCTAGACATAGCTACTTATGACACTTTTGCCAATAAGCTTTTCTTTCTTTCTTTCTTTCTTTCTTTCTTTCTTTCTTTCTTTCTTTCTCTTTTTCACTATTTATTTCAACTTTTGCTATAAGGAGTGTGCATTTGCCAGAGAGAGAGAAGAGAGGGAAAAAAAAGTGAGCAATAGCCCCCACAGGTGGATGGCTGACCACAACCCTTTCTCTATTCTCTGAGGATTTGGGACATACACAGACAAGCTCCCGACTCCCCTGCTGGATCCAGGATTTGAATCGCACAGTCAGCCACCACAATCACACAGTGAATCCACCTGCCTTAATCACCATGTCACTGGCTAACCAATTCCCACCCCTCCTCCCACCTTTATTTTTTTATTTATTGAGAG